CTTTCTTTCTTTCTTTCTTTCTTTCTTTCTTTCTTTCTTCCTTTCTTTCTCTTTTTCTCTCTCTGTGTGAGTCTGTGTGTGGGTGTGTCAGTGGTAGGTTTCAAAATTTTTTGGAACCTCTTCTGTAGGTGTGGCCTACTTTCCAGGTCCACTAGTGGAACCTCTTCTAACCGGTTCGGTAGATTTGACGAACCGGTTCTACTGAACTGGTGCGAACTGGTAGGAACCCACCTCTGCCTTCTACCTAGGGCAAACAATGCTGCTTTCTGGAGGGTCTGGATCGTAACTTCCATCATTTTTGGTCAGAAGGTTTTGTTGTAGAGCAGGGGTGTCAAACTCAATTTCATTGAGGGCCACATCAGGGCTGTGTTTGAACTCAGGGGGCTGGTGGGGGGCGTGACCAGCTTAATGTCACTCAGGTTGGAGGTGCCTGTGGTGGCCCAAGCAATCTGCCAGTGAAAACGGGTTCGCGAGCTCCGTTTTCAGCTGCGACAGCCTCCTGCAACCCTCTGCCAACAAAAATGGAACTCAAGAGGGCTTGCACACGGCCCTCCCGAGCTCCATTTTTGCTGGCAAAAGCATCATGGGCCGGTCTGTTTCTTGGGCAGCCCTGTAGGCTAAATCTAAGCACCACCACCCCCGCCTGGATCCGGCACCTGGGTCTTGAGTGTGACACCCCTGGCTAGAGGATGAAGGTAACCACAATCAAGCCTATCTGAAGACCATTGGACTAAATGTCATAGCCTTGCAGTTCAGGTAATCATAATCTGGGAAATTACTACATCTTGCTAAACACAAATCAGAAGTGGATGGAATTGCTAGATTTCTCCAGTGTAGCTTCCCCTGATGTGGTGGGACTGGAAGTCTCCACATCTCCAGCCAATTCTCAGATATTGTGGTCTCCATATAGTCTCTCATACGTGTAATAAGGATTCAGACCAAAAAAAAAATCAACCCGTCTGCAATTATTCTAATAAAAGAGATGAAAACAATTCGGCTGTCTAATGATCTACTGGGCACAGCCATAGTATGATTTGGGGGGTGGGGGTGGATGTGAGGATGATTTACCTGCAAATGTACTTGAGTAAATTAAAGTTGACGAGCGGCAAATTCTTCACTTGCTTTGCTAATTCATTCAGCCCCTGTGTGAATATGTAAAAAAAAAAAAGTGAAAATGGAGAAACACACAGCACCCCTGCAAATAATTAGGAATCAAATTCAGGTAGAAATCCCCAGATAAGGGGATTTGGGTGCTAACGTAAATCCAAGCCAAAGAGACCAAACTCACCGTTTCCTTTTCTTTGCTGAGCATTTTGGCACAGGAGAGAAACTCTTCATATTTGGAATACGGGATCACCGGCTCCGGCAACTCCCTGAGGTAGAGTTTCAACAGTGAGGCCACTGTATGCACATCTGTATTTCTGCAGGAATGGAACAGAATATATCCCGTTGTGAAGGTAAGATTGGATCTCTGAACATCTTCTATCCAATTTGGACCTTTTAGGATGCTTCTAAAGCAGGGGTGTCAAACTCGATTTCATTGAGAATAGAATAGAAGAGAAG